TAACCCTAAACCCTACAGTAAACCCTAAACCCTAAACCCTAAACCCTAAACCCTAAACCCTATAAACCCTAAACCCTAAACCCTAAACCCTACTCAGTCGCTTGGTAAGCCCTGAGGTGACCTCCACTACCAACGCATGGCGGACGAGGCTCGGACTTGTGGCTAAGGGTCGCAAGTCTGGCGGGCAGGTTCCGATGGAAATTCAGCGAGAGCTGGACATGCTGGTCTTTGAGCATGCGCAGGGACTTTCGGAGGTTGCAGAGCGCAAAGAGGTTGTGACACTCCACCACGTGGTTTCTTGAAAGCCATATGAGGATGTTTCTGGTTCTATGTTGTTTTGTTCGTGCGAACAACCCTCCTCGTTTGATGCAGCGGTTCATTTCTTCGAATGCTCAGGAATCCACTGTTGCCGGCCTCATTGATGACTGGAACGTTGGTGTTCCTGCCGCACAAGCGGCTGTCAAAGAGCACAATGACCGCATCATGGCAAAGGTCAAGGACAAGAGCCTGACGGCGGAGCGTGCCGTTGGCCTCGTCCTCCCCAAACCTCGTGCCCTCAAGCATCCGTCGCGGTGGTGGTCGTCGTGGTTTCTACGCCAATGGGGATGGTCCATGCTGTCGCGAGGCACAGAGTCTCAGACTTCCCTGCCGTTCGGCCACGAGGACATGCGTGCTGCTCGGCAGGCCTTCCATGAGCTCATTACCGACGAGGGGGTCCACGGCGCTCTGGTGCTTAATTTTGATCAAGTCTGGAGATGCGCTTTCCAGACCGACGCAAAGCTGCTCTGGAAATCGGGCGCAGCTGGCGCCAAGGCCTCCAAAACCAAGGCCCCAGTCAGAGCCAGCAAGAAGTTGCACGCCGTTCGACACTCTCGGAACCTTCCTCAGTTCCAAGTTTTGTTGCAAGAACAGTACAGTAGTGCTATTTACAGGTTTATAAGAGATTTCTCCGGCTGTTTGTTGCCTCGTGCAATGAATGCGTTTGATTACAGTAACCTGAGGCGTGGTGTGACCGTGCTGACAACAAGCTGGAGCGACGGCACGAGAGGCCCTTTGGCCTTTTGCGTTCCGGAGGGGAAGATCACTCCGGAGGAGCAGCGTGCGTGGAATGTGGCCCACAAAGGCCGCAGCTATGTGCTGACATCTGGCACGCGGAGCCATTTTATGACAGCTGACACGCTGCTTCAGCTGTTCGAACAGCTCTTCAGCCCGGCCCTCCAGCAGCAGCGTGACCGGCTCATGGGCTGCATGAGTTGGTTTCCAATCGAAACCCTTTGGGTTCTAGTATGGTGTTGAATTTTTTCGTACTCTCTATCCTGCATGTAAGCCCCTGGGTTCTATGTTAGTTTGTTCTCATGGCCTGTCATGGGTATGGAAAGGTACAGCCTCGGCCATGAAGCGAAAGCTGCTCTTCTTTGCGACGCATGGAGTGGCACCTTTGCAAATTCCAGAGGTGAAGATCGGCGAAGAGCTTGCTGGTACGAGACGCACAACGTCGTGCCACCCCGGGTACAACCTGGTGGATGGTCATCTCATGGCCAACCTGTAGATCAGCTGCATTCCATGTTTCGCCGCGAAATCAGACGGAGGGATGTGTGCAGCGTTGGCATGCATGCAGACTTGAGAAGCCGACCCCGTGTTTTGGACTGCTTACTGTAAGGGGTCTAGGGTGTCCGCCGTCGGAGGTTTCGGGTTTCGCTCCTATGGTTCCCTTTATATACTGGGTCCCGAGGTTTAGTGTTCCGCAGATCCCCCTGCTGTGCAGCAAGGTCTTGAGGAGATGTCCATTCGCGGCTCCGGCCAGATTGCTGTGCAAACACGTCCTCTCATTGAGGTGGTGGGGCTGACGTTGGAGGCTTGGGAGGCACTGGAGCGCAAGATCTTTCAATCTGCCTGGCTCATCTGCGGCTACGTGACGCAAGACGACCTGGCTGTTTTCGATGCCCAGGCCGGAACCCTCCACGCAGCTGCTGCTCACGATGTCCTATCGGATGCCTTCAGCAAGTACAGTCGGTTCTTCGTGCCGCAGTACTGCACCACAATGGAATGGCAAATAAAGGCAGGCACACATTTGGTTTGTGTTGGGTTCTATGTTTTTTTTTGTTTTCGGGGTCGTTTTCTCGTTTCGATGGCGGTGGGTTCCATGTTTAATTATTTGTGTTAGGTGGTTGTCTTATTTCTTGGGTCTGTTTTGTGTCCTCGCCCCTTTCGAGATGGGAGAGACCTGGACGCCGTTGCCGTATCAGCTGGCCGGAGCAGTTGTTCGGCAGCTCGTGCTTCATGCGCACAAGCTGGACGCAGCGAAAGCTCTCCTTGAGGAGCTGCGTGGCAAGGACCCGGCTGAGAGCAAGCCCAAGACCGTGACGGCCAAGAACGACTACCAGAAGCTTGTGAGTTGCCACCGCCATGTGGTAATGAACATTCGCACGGGACAGATCGCATCCGCCGAGTGGATGCAGAAACATGTCAAAGTTGTGGATGGCCGGCCTGAGCCTCGAAATCCGAAGCACAAGATTTGGTTCTTGGTGCTGAGCTTTAGGCTTGAGGCCAACAACCGCGTCGTGCTCGCCCTCGCTCTCGCAAAGGACGAGCCCCTGCTCCCGATCCGGTGCTTCAGGCTGTCTGGCGAGGAAGAGAACCGGCTGCCAGACCTGCTGCATGGCTACGAGCATGTCGCAGAGGATGCAGAGATCCAGGCCAGCAAGCCCAGAACAGCGACTTAAGTTTTGCAGTGCTGCGGATTGTCGGGTTTTAGAACTGTTTACCGTAATGAGGCCGAGGATGGCAGCGAAGCTGGGGAATCCGGCGGCGACGATGCCGAATCTCAGGATGAGGCTGAGTCTTCAGACAGCGATGTTGGATCTGTGGCAGGGCTCGAGGGTGTCTTGTCATGCACCCACACGCGGTTTCAGTGCACTTGCACTCTGGAGAGTAAACTTCGTTGGGTTCCATGTTAGTTTTTTTGTATGTCCGTTTCACAATTCTTGGAGAGCATGTTCCATGTTAGTTTTGATGAGATGTAACAACAAATCCAGGCCAGGAGGCAGCTGAGAATGCAAGAAAGCCCCGTGATCCGGCCTTCAAGCGCAAGCGGATCGACAAGGACGAGAGCAGCTCAGAGGGTGGCGATGAAGAAGCGCCGGCTGGTGAGGACTACGATGAGGCTCTTGTGACGGAAGCTGCTGCTTCGAGAACTTACGCCCCGCCAAGCTTTTGGACGAGACCAGTCTACCAAGAGCTTTTCCAGGAGGGGCTGTGTATCCTGCCGGCGGTGCCCAAAATGGGACTACGCTATCACAAAGCCAGCCAGCAATGGCAGGCGTACTCTCCGTACGCTGACAGAAGTGTGGAACCAAAGTGGAGCCCAACTCTCCGTTCAGAGAAGCGGGCGATCTTCATGTGTTTGGAAGCATCTCGGACCAATGCAGTAACAGCACTTTACACGCTCAAAAGTGGGTGCATGTTCTTTAATTCAATTCGTGTGAGTTCCATGTTGGTTTTCCATCTCAGTTTCTGTGGTCGGAATATTGCGACAATGAGCCGAACGACGCTGGCGCAGTGGAACACAGAGACCTCTTGCGCCAGAAGCTCACAGAGCTGGAGTTCTAGCACCTTGGTGCTTACGAGAAGAAACAACACGCTCAAAGCACAAAACTCCAAACCCCAAGCGCCCCAAACACCCAATGCTGTAAGATAAACATACACTCTAGGTTCCATGTTTGTTTTATTCAAATCGCGAGATGCCCAAGGACCGTCTGGGTGCAGCCCACGTTGCCCTGCGCCCTGAGTTGTTTAGGGGGTTTCCGAAAATAGGGGACCCCTCATATAGTACCCTAAATTGTAGGATCCTCATTATAAGAACCCCAAAATAAGGTACCCCTTATTTTCGGAAACTCTCGTTTCAGCTCACTGTACTGTGCTGTACAGTACGTTCAGCGGCTCAGCTTTTGCGTGCTGGCCGAGAGGGAGTTGTCAGTGCTGTGCATTTGTAAGAAATCACGTGACAAAACAATAGGAGCGGTTCCATGTGCACAGCGCTGTTGGTGTCACCAAGACCCCAGAAATCGCGGATTCAGTGCAAAGGACGGAAAGATACCTTGTGTATTTGGGAACAACCCTGCCACAATCATTGAAATTATCATGGAATCCTTCACGTATTGTTGTCTCGATCAGGCCCACTTTTGAAAGACCAACATAGAACCTGACCCCTATGCCAGATTCTATGTTAATGGCAAAAGAACGTGTTCACGCACCAGCTTCAGAACCTGTGGACCACTCGGAGGGATATGAATCCTGATTGCCAATGCTATGTTGATTTGTTTTGAGATCGTTTATCAATACACAGTTCCATGTTTGTTTGTTTTTTTTTTTGTTGTGGGTTCTTGGGTTGTTGCACGCAGTGTATATATATATATATATTAACGAGTTTATAAGGTATCCCCAAAAAGGAACTACAATGGAGACTATAGGTACTCTTCTAACATCTCTAGCTCCAGACTCGCAGGCATGGGACCTTGTGAAACTGCATGCAACCCAGAGAGCCCAATACCCCTTAATTAAGGAATATAGCTTAAACCATAATATTAAGGCCCCTATAATTTAAGCTATATTCCTTAATTAAGGGATATTGGGCTCTCTGGGAATGTCTTGGAAGCTGTGGCGCACTTGCAGGTGTCTTGCTGTACCGAATAGCTGTACATCGAATCTCAAGCTTCGCGCGCAAACAGGGTTGGCAGTAGATACTTTGCCAGGCCACAGCCGCGCTGCCCTCATGCTGAACTTATGTCAAGCTGGGCGAAAACAAAATCTAGGAAGTCTCGAAGAAGCAGAGCCTCAGCGAAGACCGCGATTTACACCTCGACCGAACTTCTCGTCTGTGCCGAGGCTCCGAGGTATCGAAGCGGGACTGTCGCAATCTGTACATTTGCGATGTAGCTGCAAGGCTGGCTTTGCCACACACAACACTCTGCCCTAACAACGGGCAAAAGCCTCTGCAAGAACTACCAGTACACCATGTGCACCTCTTCGTCCTTCAGTTCCAGCAACTGGCTGCGATGCTCACATGGAACCGTGCCCAAACAGTGCCAAAAGGTAGCCACGATCTTTGTCACCCAGACCTGTACGAATGCAAAGAAGATCGCCGAGAGCCAGAATGTCGAGACTGCAAAAGCTATCTGGCTTGCGCACTGTAGAAAGCTGAAGCCAAGATACACAGTCACAAGTCCACGCTTGAGATATCTGGCACCGATGAGGCCGCAGATGGGGCCAAGCATGAACACCACTCCGGTGACGATCACCGGCCAAGTTCCCCAACTAGGATCCCAGGGAAATCTGTCCCTGTCCATGATTGCGGTAACAATGTTCAGCACGATGGTCAGCAGGTTGATGAAGGCAAAGCACATGACAGCCACTCGGTAATTCAAGACAACAAGCCACTCTGGGGGCAGTGTGAAGACAGGAGCTGGGGCTGCGAGCTGGGGTGCACCCAAAATGCCGGGACTTGGGCCAACGACTGGGATACCCTGCACAACTGGCATCTCCCCTCGCTCTGCTTGGTTGAGGTCACCCGTCGGCTTGTTCAGGTCACTTCCGCCCATGGCTGTCATCATGGGCTTCTTTAGCAGTGGGTTGGGCTACTGCACGGAAGGAGTCTTCCAATTTCTGTGGCTTTCGGCCGGGCCCGATTACAGGAGCAAAGGAACACCGTTCAGGCAATTGATGCGCACATCTGTCCATCCTAATCCTAGTCTCTCAACCCTGACGCTATGCACTTGCAGATGTGCCTCATGACCCCATGTTGAATGTCCAGGAAGCTGCGGTGCACTCTCACGTGTCTTCTGCAACGATAGCTATACATCGAACCACAAACGCCAGTCGCGAACGTTGCACGCCAGGCCACAGCCAGCCGTGCTGCCCTGCTGAACTTACGTCAAGCGGAGCGAAAGCAAAGTCTAAAGACGTCTCGTTAAAAAAAACAGTGCCTCAGCGGCAATCGGGGCTCCGATGTCGACCGAAGCTCTTCACATTGGTGCCAAGGTATCGAAGCGGGACTGTCGCAATCTGTACATCTGCGATGTAGCTGCAAGGCTGGCTTTGCCACACACAACACTCCGCCCTAACAACGGGCAAAAGCCTCTGCAAGAACTACCAGTACACCATTTGCACCTCTTCCGTCTTCAGTTCCAAGAGCTGGCTACGACGCTCACGTGGAACCGTGCCCAAACAGTACCAGAACGTGGCCGCGATTTTCGTCACCCAGGCCTGTACGAACGTAAAGAAGATCGCCGACAGAAAGAATGTCGAGACTGCAAAAGCAATCTGGCATGCACAATGCAGAAAGCTGACGCCGACATAAGCAGTCACAAGTCCACGCTGGAGGTAACTGGCACCGATGAGGCCACAGATGGGGCCAAGCATGAAAATCACGCCCAATACGATCACCGGCCAAGTTCCCCAACTAGGATCCCAGGGAAATTTGGCGTCATTCACTATTGCAGTGACCACGTTCAGCAAAATGGTCAGCAGGTTGATTGAGGCACAGCACAGCACAGCCACTCGGTAGTTTGAGACAACAAGCCACTCTTGGGGCCGTATGAAGACAGGAGCTGGGGCTGCGAGCTCAGGTGCTCCCAAAATGCCGGGACTTGGGCCACTGACTGGGACACCCTCGGCAACCCTCACCTCCCCTCGCTCTGCTTGGTTGAGGTCACCCGTCGGCTTGTTCAGGTCACCTCCGCCCGTAGCCGCCATCATGAGCACCGAAGTGTCTTCAAATTCTGTGGCGTTCGGGCCCCGAGCTTCGAAATCTCCAACCAATTCAGATGCTGGATTCCTCTAGATACCAGGACCCTCCCCTCAAGCAGGGCAGATGGTGCCAAGCAATGGGGTATTAAGGATCTGAGGGGATCTAAGGGGAAGATGGAGGGTTCAGATACCTTGCCTGCAGCTTTTTGATGTCCGCTCCTACCACTTGACTGCCTTGCAAAACTCGGCGAGCAGCCCTTGGGACTTGCACACGGCCTGCTGCACCACGTACCCCTGCACTAGATTGCGGAGCTCCTCGCACATGGGGTTTAGGGCCTTTTTGCAGAGGTGAAAGCTCACAGCGAGGTTACATAGGATCCACCATGACATGACTTTGATTGTGACATCAAACAAGGCAGGTTTTACACATTAGCGTTTGGGGCTTAAGTTTAAGGGTTTGCGGTATAGGAGCAAAAGAACCTAACTTTCGGACTGAAAACACACGAACTGCGGTTCAGGATGTAAAGGACCTAGAACTCTAGAACTCTGACCAAAGAAACCCTCGAAGCTCCAGTGGCCTGGAATTCACGCCTCACTCGTCAACAATGATTACACCAACTTTCTCGATGCCCCTTTTGAAACGTTCACCTGTAAGGACATGCTGTTTCAGAGCAACTCGAAGGCAATTACAAAGCCGTGGCTGGCACAAGGCTTATTCGTGCCCTGCGACAGTCGGGCCGGTGAGCAGCATTTCTGGCCGCTTACTGTAAATTATGTCATTTGCCTCTTGTGCTAGGCGATGCCTATCGAGTACTATTGGTGCTGTTGCTGCTCTTGCTCGGTCTGGGGCCGGCGAACAAGCATCTATATCTTATAAGGCTTTCTGGTATTCGGGCGAAAACAACAACGATGATTTCGATGATGATGATGCTGGTGCTGGTGGCGGTGGTTGCGGCGGAGGTCAACGGAGGGCGACTGGCTACACCCACTGATAGTAGTTCACGTTGGAAACTAGGCGGGTGCCTTCTTGTCTTCATCCGTCAGCGTTTCTGCCTCAGCTAATGGGCTGTGTGGTGCCGTTGGCACACAATTCACGCATTTTTGAAGGCATAGGCTAGAAACGCGTAGGCGATCCACAGCTTGTGTGGTTGCGCTGGCTGCATTGTGGAGGAGTCCGGGCATACTCAAGAGGGAACTGCAGGCATTCTGCTACATTGAGATTCGCATGTGCTTTAGGTCCTAATAGGTGTAAGGTGAAGGGCTCAGGCAGAAGAAGTTCGAATTAAATAAGGATTGAAATTCGAGTTCATGCCTTTTGACTGTTCAGAAAGTGAGGTGGCATCAACTCCTCTCTGAAGTTTTGAGTGTGTCAACCGATAAACCCTATACCCCAAACCCTAAACCCCTAAATGTTATAATGTGTTACTCTACCTCTCCGAATCCAGGTCCCCCGGCATTCTCGTCCCCATTGAGGAGCGTCAGCTCATCCTTGCGACAATGGCCAGCCCTCCCACGCTGCTGTCTACTTCCACGGGTCTTCATACAAATGCGTATCTGTTACAAGGGTGCCGTACTATTTTGAGGACCTAATCAGGGACCAGAAACTTAGAGAACTACCCAAATCCTTCTGCGGACAGAACTGTCCTGAGTTGTAACCCATCGAAGCCTAAAAACTGGAACCGTGAAAGGAGGCCTACCGCCCGGTGCTGCCACATAAACTGCCGAAATGCGCCGAACTCCGGCCCCCAAAGTATAAATCTCAGCAACAGGACGCCCATGGTGCGGCAATGCAACGAACAGCCTAAGTAGCCTTGGTCAGCAGACCCAGCTTCCTCCCTCCGTGCCATTGAGCCTTGAACTCTTTTCTTACCCATTCTTCAAAGGTCTAAGGTTGAAACCATGGGCCCCTTGGGCCTTAACCCTGGGATCCTTATACACCTACTATCCCTATATGTAACCTCAAGGGTCCCTGGAAAGGCCTAAGGGCCCATATTAGGGGACCATACTTCTAACCTTAGAGAAGGGAAACGAGCAGGTCAAGATTTATCATCATACTCGGATCTATACCCTACCCGCAACGAGGCTCAAGGCTACCAGCTCGTCTAGTACCAACAGCTGGCAGGTTAGGTAATGTAGGGGCCTTAATGATTACCTACACTATTCTGGAGGTTCCTTATTACAATTGTAGTATAATATACCCCCCAAAACCCTATTCTATTTATTAAGGCCCATAACCCTAAACCCTAAACCCTAAACCCTATTCTATTTATTAAGGCCCCTACAGTATCTGCAGCCTGGCGGCCTTCAGTTCTGCGACTTCCTTCTTCAAGCGGCGGATGAGCAAAGCAGGGTCCAATTCCTGCGGGGTTCAGAAAACTAGGGTTCCTTTGATGGGATCCTTAAAGGGTTCAAAGCGATCTGTGATAGGGTACTGGGGTTCCTTTGATGGGATCCTTAAAGGGTTCTATAAGGGATCTATGATAGGGTTCTATAGTTAGAATGGGGTTCCTTTGAAGGGATCCTTAAAGGGTTCTATAAGGGATCTATGATAGGGTTCTATAGTTGTTGCCGGCTTGATGCTGACAGAGCAAGCATGCAAGCGAATCTTGCGCCAGACTGTGGCAAGCTTCGTCGGCGACAAGTATCGAGCAGCGCAGGCCTCGTTGATGGTTGCATTGTTCTTAATCGCCGCGACCCGCTGAGCAAACCGGCACGTGGAGATTGACCTTTGAAGGCAGTCAAGGCAGGAATACTGATTACGAGCAGCCGATACTCGACGTTCTTGAATGTATGATTTCTCACGCACGTGAGCGTTCGCTGCATGCCCGGACAGCTAACTCGACTGAACAGTTGGAGAGCTTGCTCAAAGAAGTGGTCTCTAACCAGAGATTGATCTCGAGCCTATCGGCTCCGATAAGATAGAGGTCGTGTAGCCCTTCTCCCCGAACCGCAGCGTTGAGGCTTCTATCGCGTTTGGAATTTGTTGACGTTCTGGACGCTTTGCCTATGGCATGTTCGTCATACCATCGACTTGGAGCCTTAGGCCTTAGGCAAGATGAAGATATCGAACTCAATTTTTGTTCCGGGCACAGTGAGCTCCCAACCGCAAATTTATACACACATGCGGCTCAAAAAACAGCACCACGTCAACTATGATGAAATTACCTCGCATATTACCTGGAGAGGCTCTCTATGCTTTTGTGTGCCATCAGGTGGAACTTAAAAAGGATCTAGGTTTAGGGATTAAGGCCTTTGAAGAGCCTGTTGCTTGACAGTCAGTTTGGATATGGGCATCATTGTCGGGATCGAACATGGCTATGGGACCTGCTATTTGCTCATATTCGTCAGCATATTCTCCAGCAACCCGTCGGATTGGGGGCGACCCACCCTCCTTGTCAAACCAGTGCTGGGCCTCAGGTTTTCGGCATGAAAAACCACCCGGTTTAGCGGGTCTGATCTTGATGATCTCAGGATGTGACCAAAGGGCCTCAGTGTATCCTTTTGCCATGCGTCACCGAAGTGCACAAAGTTATAGTGATAGATCTGGCGTAATTATTTTCTGGTGCATCCGTTGATTGGTTTGCTCTCTGTCTAGAAGCGTGGGAGGCTTTCCTAGGATGCGTCTCAGGCTTTAGTTTTGAAGTGCAATTAGTTTCTTGGCTTTCAGGGTTCGTCCGTTGTATACATTCAAGCCCATACAAAATGTTTTGATCTTACAATTGCATCATACACTTGGATTCTCCATTTGGTTGATGTGTTAGCCTTTTTCCCAACGATCTTAAGTCGATTGCACGTCGCTATAAATCTCCCAATCTGTTGGCTGTTTCGGCCTTATTTTCGAATGTGTCAGTGAGTAAAGTGCCTAGGTATGTGGCTGGTCACTGTCTTGGGACTGGTCTTCTTGCAGCTGGTCCATCGGGAGAAAACTGCACTGATGAAACTCTTTGGTTTGCGCTGTTGGATTCACGCATTACCCATATAGTTCAGTCGCAACCCAAAGTACGCACTATGCCTTTCAAGTGCATGCCATACCTTGATAATAATCTGCATGTTAGCTCCAACTGTTAGTGTGTCGTCTGCAAACACGATTTCGCTTGGTCCGAACAGAGCCCCCATAACTAGCACAAACAAGCAAGGGAAAGAGGACATCCCTGCCTTATGCCAAAATACTGAAATGTCCATTCAGACGCATTGTTGCCGGAGCGTACTTTGAATTCAGGATTAGCATAGAAGTCTTTAATATACAATATATATTTATATACATACACACACATATATATA